TTGTTGGTCGTAATTACAAGTGAGTGAAACCGTTGTATTATTTTACTGACTATCTAGGACATCGTCTACGGTATTTTCCGTTGAATTTTTAAGTTTATTTCTAACATTCGATAACATTATAGTTTAAGACAAAGTACACTGATTTGTACAAAATCGACATATATTTTACTTCGCTCTTTGAATTTTTTGTGTAATTTTGACCGCACAATTATGATTCGCGTACTCAATTGAAATCTAAGAAAATTTCTTTACTGGAGTTCAGATTCATGCATTTTCTATAAGAAGTGGTGACACTACCTAACTCTTCGGTGATATATGTTGGCTAAATCCATACTTTTAGCTTAATAGTCGCAAAACCAACTTTCCTCTAGTTTTCAACTACATGACGGCTTTAGTGTCTCTCATGTCTTATCAGAACAAATTTTTGTGTCCTTATTTTTAGTTAACTACAACAAACCGATCAGTTGACTATATACCAAGGATAGGATTTAATCACCTCAGACTGGTGCAATTTGTAAACAAGAAATGTGCAGGTAAAATACTAATTAAACTTAGACAATAAGTTGTTCAATTTTGAAAGTGATGACACAATTAAAAATGAATTTCACCCACATGGTCTAGCGTTGCCAGCGGTCGATCGCTGCTATCATTGTGGATTCAGGTTAGGATCCAGATAAGTATAAATGGATTTAAATTAATATCGTATCCCACCACTATACGGTCAGAAGTGTAATGTTGAATATGACTAGAAAATGCTGTTTCACATGACTACTCAAAGTTTTCTGTTGCCATTAAGTAAAACATTTAGTTAAGTCATTAGCAAGTTTTGTACCACACGTCACATTAATAGAAAATATCGCAACCTAAAGTGGTGGATAAATATGGATAAGGCAGTAACTACCACGATTGAAAAGTCGGGAAACACATTTTCACCTACAGAATATATCTGGACGCATAAAAATCATCATTTTGACCCAGGACACTTCAATAAGAGCTTCATTATGCAAATTAGTTTGGGTAGTCAATTTGATAGGCTGATCTTTTTATTTCGTGTAACATGCTAACCTGAGTAACTTAAGTGTAGTCAATATCTACATAACTTCATGAAAGTAGAATTATGGACTTTTTGGTGAAGTAAGTAATTGAAATAACTGTTGTATTTCCACTAACATCTGGGACCTTGTATATATTAGATTTGTTGCATAGTATCAGTCGACATTGAGTTAAAATACTCAAATAAATGACCCCTGATTTACTCAGAGAACAAATGTTTTTTGGAAATTCCCAAAGTAGCCAGTTCGATAATATGCTGTTCTCCTTCACTACATATCTGGTTAGCTTAAATAAATCTAGAGGATGATGAATCATCCTCATACTTTCACCTCAGATCATTCGTGTGTATGAAAATATGACCGAACTACTTGTACAGTGTGGCTGACTGACTGACTTACCACCTTTGACCTAACCACTCCTATGAATCCGGTGTTCATCTTACTGTGCTAATGAGGTATGGCAACCTGGACCGATGCACATATGTGCCTGGTCCTACGTTGTAGCTGACTGACTGACTTGTACAGTGTGACTAGATGCTAGTAGTAATTAAAAGATATGGTGAAGTCAGTCAGTCAGTCAGCTACAACGTAGGACCAGGCACATATGTGCATCGGTCCAGGTTGCCATACCGCATCAGCACAACAAGATGAACACCGGATTCATAGCAGTGGTTAGGTCAAAGGTGGTAATATATAAGAGAAAGATTGCATGTAGAGATATAGTACAAGAAGAAAGAATTGGTTCGTAGAAAGAAAGATATGAAGTGATTTTAATCTCTTAGTTTAAGGGAAGACAGGGAGTGTATACAACGACGCCATTGTGATCGATTCTGAGCCATGTCACCAAGAGTTGTTGCTACCTTGACGTGGTGGTTGGGCTTGCCTATCATGATGAAGCAACCGAGCTATACTGGCTGGAACAACCGTTCCTCAAGGTCCTACCATGTCAGACAGGTCGGTTGAAGAGCGGTAAGACTAAAAGCAACAAACCCAAGGTCCGAAGGCGAAGTCGTACTGCTGACTGTACAGAGGTGTGACAGCAGTAAGATGTTTCCTTCAGACAACCAGCATGACAGCGATGCTGCCTTCCCACAAGGAGGGGTGGGGTTAGAAAAGGTCGACCCTAAAAATGCACATCTCACCTTACCTCACGGATTTCCGTCTCCGGCGGTAAGGCCCTTTGAAGGACGGAGCTAACACGTCAAAAACCTCCCATGAAAAGGCCGTGCGCGACCGGCCTCAAGCAGTTGTCTCTTGGGCACTGCGGTCACGCTCTCAGGTCACTGAGACCACCTCTAATCCAATTTCCTTTTCAGGTACCTCCAGAACAACCCTTCCTCGGTGTGGGCAACCGGGAAGTGATAACCGCCCTCATACCTCTAACAGCACTCGAGACCACTGTATTCATAATCAACCTCCGTCTTCACTTCCTATTATTCCTCCTACATCGACTTTCAACTCTAAACTTCCTCTTTCGGTTTCCTCCTCAAGTGTCACCATGGCCAACGATTCTAGTGCTCAGTGGTGAGTGAAACATCAGTTCTTATAATTTGGTAAATATCAACTGCACTGTCTACTCGTTCTGATATTTTATTCCGTATCAGCCCGAAAGTGACAAAGGTGAAAGCTGGTCTGCGCGATTGATAAGAATGTTAGCTTTCAATAAACCCTATAATTGTTTTCAGTCCTTCAGACTGAGTACTTTGGAAAAAAATGTTAGAAATATGACTACGAAGCTGATTAGTTTTCTGTTGTTTCAGTTGTGGAAACTATAGGACAGCAAACAAGTTCCCTCAAATCTCTTCAAAGTAATAGAGTTTTGTCTGCTTTTATAGGTAGTAACGAGGGGATTTTAAGGTTTGAAATAGTCTGGATTTACAATCCACTCAACCAGGTTGACCACATATAGGTTTACAACAACTTGTGCTATTTAACATACCTAAACAAATTGAGTCATTAGGAAACTTGAATAATCATTTTCTCGTCTCTATATGAACCTAGGTGGTAAAAAGTGAACTCAGTATCACCAGACAGCATAGAATATTAATGCCATAGGTGGGAATTCTATGCGTTAAAATCTATGATTTACTCTTGCTGCTTTGTAAATAGTCATCCATATCCAAGCCCAATCTTTTGTTTAGGTGGTCAGAATCCAGTCTTCGATGTAAGATAGATAAAGTTGCGAAACTCTATGTACAGCAATCATCTGTCAGTGTCCGATGTTCGGTTCAACAGATTTACCATTCGAAATACCTGGGAAGAGAAAACCAAGTTTAATTCACCTTATAAAAGCACCATCTCAGTCCAAAGAATTTGTGGGACTGAGTATAATATTCGGAGATGACGAAAAGCTTTAATTTAAGGTTTGAAAACTTATTTAGTATCGTAATGAGAAATGATATGCGAAAACTATTCTTTACATAGTACTGTTTTTAGGGAATAAAATAATACAAAGCCAAGTACTTTTTTGTGTCAGAAAAATGAAAAGAATTGTTTTCATTTCTTCTTCCTCACTTCAATTGTTTACTGTGTCATTTATTAACTTGGTGATCAGCTGTAATAACTCAAGTCAAAGTACTGGGATTAACATGAATTTAATCAATCAACATCAAATAATCTGTAAAAACTCAAAAGATCCAGTATTTATAGCTTATAGCGACTGAAACCTTACACTACTAACTTGTTTCAATTACTAAGGTTCCTTAATCTCATGCTCGTGTTACCCCTGATTGATGTCATGTGCTCTCGTTTTCAAGTGTAATTGCATTTCATGCAATTACTGAGTTGTCGGCTCATTTTTTCTCTTGTTCTTTTTTCTTTCAGATGATCTCACTTACTGCTCCTAACACCTTCAAGACAAGATACCTTCAGACTAGACACAAACCTACCAAAAGCTAAATGTTATAATATCATTGCGAGGCTACCTAATTTTTCGAAGTTTCAAGAGACATAGATTTAACATAGTCCCTTGTTTATCAGATTGAGGTTCCAATTTTTGCTTTTTTCTTGTCTCTGAATAATCAGAGACCTAAGTATTACTGTCTCTTTGACGTGCAAAGCTAAATGTAATTATCATACCCTGAGGCCAGATAGATCTATTGAAAAACCAGTTTAAAGGATTAGGTTTTAAATGGACAAAGTAAAATATATGAGACTGGTTAAATATGACTATCACGTAATAAGGTTCTATCATGCTGTAAAAAGATCTATTTTTAGTAGAGATACTTTCAACAGAGTTACTAAGTCTGTGTATACTGCCAACATGTCATTTAAAAATATTTTTTAGAGTTGAAAGTTAAGTCAACGTTATCACCTAACTCTGAAATCAAGACAGTTATCACCAAAGAGCTGATTCATCATCCTCTTCGTGCATTGCCCCATATATTTACATCATCTGAAGTAAGGATCTTGAAAAATACTTTGTGGTAGGTCGTTCATGTTTATTAGCAGTGGCTGTAATCTCTTCAATATTTTTTTAGCAAATCTGATCACTGGCACTATTAAACAAAACAACTCTCCACGTATTAAATGTAATACATCCCTTTATAATGAAGTGCCATTCAAATTACAGTCGGTATTTCTTGTACTCAAACGTATTTTAAACATTCAGCTAATGAATATAATGGATGAGTATAAGACTGAAAGGAATCTAGAGGCTGGTGATTCTGTATTGATGTTATTTCCAATTATATATTTAGTTAAATGAAATGATTTTGAATGACACCCAGAGTTTTCATATTTGAAAGTTCTAATTGTGAGATGTAAATGATTGGAGATCAGAGGATTGGTTTAGCCCATTCTCAATAAACACAGTTTACCCAAACTACTTGCAAACGTGTTCAAATAAGTTTTCGTCACTATTTATGGATTGTAGTTTTTATTTGTTAAATTGCCTCATAGTTCCACGTCTCGTTGTCTAATATCATTTTTAGTAGTGTTTAACAAAAAATGGATCCAGTCCTGACACCAGAAATGATACATATCGGACCTCGCCATTATAGGAAAAATGCATCAAAGCAATGTTTTGTTCAGTCCTTTCCTACGTCCATTAGTCAAATCGAAGAGGTTCCAGATGTTGAAGAAGTAGATATAGATGAAAATGATCCAGAAACTATGGAAATAAACAGGAAAATTATGGCAGTTGATAATGGGTATACTGCTTCATTTAAGGTTCCACCGTTATTTCACAAGTTCATTGTTGGTGTTCAACACTCAAAAAAAAAACTGTTAGAAGACGAATTTCGTTGTTACATTGATATCCCGAATTCTGGTTCTAGTTCTTCAATGGTCTCTGTTACTGCGACGTCAAGATTTAACGTTTTAAATGCATGTCGTCGTATTCTCTGGATAGTGACTGATGCACGTAATCGGTGTCAACCAACTCATTTCATTTGTTTACCAGTTACTTGTCCAACTGTTAAAGATAATTTTCAGACATTCAAACAGTCTGTTTTACAAGCTGCTAGTGAATGTCCTCATGATTTTATGGGCGTGGATAGTTCTATCTTTCATTCAGTGTCTACGTTACACTTCACTTTGGTAACTCTTGTGTTGGCTGATGAATCCGAAGTTGAAAAAGCATGTGAAATATTAACGACTTTCTACAAATCTCAAAGAGGTATTCAGTTGTTTGCATCTGGTCCTCTCCAACTAACTATTAAAGACCTTGAATATATGAATGACGACCCTACTTCTGTACATGTACTTTATGCAAAGGTCAGTGTATTTTGTCTTCTGTATTAGTGAATGTGTTAACCGGTTACGGCTTCACACTTAATACAAGATATGAATGTCTTAATTTTCTATTCTGTTTCGATTCTTATTATTATATGACATGTATTCATGAAGATATGGAGAGTATGAATGAGACGTGAATAAATTTTAAGTAAACTGTTGAATAATCTAAATCGCTTGCCCACTGATTAAGGTATTCATTTTTGATTATTCGGTTCCTAGGTTTAAACTCCTCTACCTACTTGGAATTGATCAGTCAAATAGTATCACCTGATCTCATACAAAATGTAACCGAAAGCCGTATATATAATTTGTTCCTTATTATTCTACTGAATATTCTGATGTTAAATTTCAAAGATTAGATTTTTATGTCTCGCCCTGATGATGGTTATTAGTAAGCACTGAACTAAGATTAAGGGCCTAAAGTTATCCAGTGAGGAAGATTTATCATTATGTCAGTCTTTTAGCTTGACAACCAAAGTGTGGAGCTTGTCCGGCAGGCTTTTGTTACCACTAAGGTATGATATAAGTAGACAACATGTGAAATATTATCCTTGAATAACATCTTCAAACCCTAATTTTTCTGGTTACAGCTTATAATTTTACTACATCTAGCACTACGGGATTTAAATCGACAACTGCATCTCTGTGCTAATGTGGTGTGGCAACTCGAACTGATGTACGTAAGTATGAAGTTCTACGTTGTTACTGACTGATTGAATTGCAATACACTTTTCCAAAAATTCTGTAGGATAGTTCCTAAAAATGAAATCGGAGTAGTTGTGTGGGAAGAAGCACGAGAATATCAATCTGTTAACTTCTTAAAAGTCTCAGTTTATTAGTCCTCTATATTTGATTTTTCTCCAATTACAAAGTGGCATACCGTATAAAAAACGATATATAAGAGGAATCTTTTGTCATTTTTACGGATTATAGGGAAATGAGATACTCCAGCTAATAAATGTTTTACCGCATTATCCAACTTTAGTTATTTAATCAATCAGTCGAATAAAACGTGAAATTCGGGAACATTATACATTGACCTAGTTTCCACACTTCATTGCGAGATGAAATTAATAAAACGCACTTCATAGTTGACCGATTCACGTATACATTGCATATGACTGGTTGATTGATTAGTTGATCGTAATTAGCTGAATATGCTGACTTTGCTTAGACCGACAAATAATTTGTTTTGATCTCAACTGATTATTTCTGTTTTTGTTTTCAATCATTTTACGTTAGCTGATGGAATCATCAGATTCACAAAGACTACAAACAATTGCTAATGAACTATTGGATCTACTTACTGAACAAAATCTAACCAGCACTGGGTCATATCGTCCGGATAATAATGTAAAATTACATATGACTTTACTTAATTCTAAGTATCGTCAGGAAAAAAGCAATCGTGACGCTTCATTTCAAGGTTTCTCACCTAATACTCGTACATCGTTCAGCATAACCGGGATTTTAAAAATTGCAGGAAATTTTTACTTTACTGAAAATCAGTCTTTTCATCAAATTTGTTTGTGTGATCGTTTGTCATTTGATTCTTCAACCCAGTTTTATAAATGCTGTTGTAAGCTAGAGTTCACTACTGATGGTATCCATTGTTCTCACATGAATAAAATGTGAATAGCTTTAATTTGAAATATTTCAGTTTAAGTCTTTCATCTACATTTTATGATTTGTGTATTCTGAAAATCCGACTTCCCAGATTACTTCTTGAGTTATTTGATGACAGTTTGATAACAACACTATCTCATACTGTGTACAGTTTTATTTTATATCACTGTTCTCTTCAGTTGCACAATCTTTCTATGTAACCGCGATGTTTCAGAAAAGTAATTACTCGAATACATAATCAGTTTTCTATTTCTTCAGTTTGTCATTTCTCATAAAAACTGCACTACCATTTCTAATAATAACAGGTTTTTTTCTGATTGTAGATAGGTAATATTAGCTAATTGTGTCTACAATCAAGATTTTCCTTCAAACATATTGTTTATTTTATAAAATTAAGTCTACATGACTGAATGATTGGATCAACTCCAGTTATTCTACTCGTAGTTGAGTAACTCAAAATAAAATACTATTATTAGTTCATTTTAATAAAAAGTTGTCGATAGAATACAAGGAATTATTTTAGTTTTCGAAGTTATTCTTCAATGTTAATTAATCTTAGTATCTTGCTTTAAATTAGAATTTGATTCTGTTTGATTAACAGCGCACGTGGGTCAAACAAGTTGATTGTGTACATTTTTAACTTTCATATAATTTAAGTCATGAAACTTAATAGTAGTTAATATAGGGTGGTTGTAAAAATTGTTGAATTTCATAACATCCAATGATCTAAGATAATTACTGAAAACTAGTTAGCATTAGACAGCTGTTCCATTCTACAATGGGATTCCTAAGCTGTGTATGTACACGAGCTCCAGTCCTAGACCTTCAGGTCTCGCGACAAGCGCCTAACCTTGGTGAAGTTGTGCATACTCACTGTTGAGTAATTTTATGTTAGAACGATACAGTTATTCATAACTTCCGGGCTTTCAATGGTTGTTTGAATAAGTTCAGTTCACGATGTAATTTCAGCTAACAGATGTACTAGCACTGATAGACTATTCACCTCTTGATTTTCATGTCTCGGCATCCCATCAACCTTTCTAATAAATCGAATTCAGTGATGATGTATATTATTTGTCTTAACTAAATTGCTTTTGTTATTATCTAGTTAATTTCAGCCACAAACGGTTAGCAGAAATTCGTTTAATATTAATTTTATTACTGATACGCTTTAAGACTTTAAAATACCTTACAATTTACTTGTTCAAAATTGGTTGTGCTGTTAATTTTAATAAACGATTAGTCCTGGGAAGACAATCGAAATCATTGCACAATTATTGACTTTTATGAATTTGTCTTATGCAGTTTTAGTTATACCTTTGAAAATCTATGATTTTATTTTAGTAATATCCAGTCATTAAATCCCTTTTTACAACAAAAGACATGATAATAGTACATCATTTCTTGACTTTTCCTCCCAAAAGTCTATACATTTAGGAATGATATGGAATAGGCTTTAAGTCGATTTCGACATTTTTAGACACAACCCAGATGAAATCTCTCCAAATGTTGTGATAACGTAATGAAACTTGTGTTGATTGTGATTTGTTATTCTGTAGTTACTCGTGAAATGTAATTATCCATTTTAACTTGTTTACCGGCGGAAACATACATTCGACCGAACAACCTGGACTTATGAATTCTTGATATATCTGTGACCTTAATAAAATACCAAGTCAAAATAACGTACTACCAACTCTGTATTTATTCTTATTGAATCCAAAAGCGGAAAATAACTTACACGGGATTTTTCTAAGAACACCTATATCATTTAAAGTCTAGCTTTTTATTGTGAATATATAGAATTAAACTGAAGTCGATGTGTATTAATAAATTCGCGAAAATTCAGCGGATATGTAAAAACACCAGTCGCTTTATTTAGGTCATCGAATCATGATACTAAATGAATCGTCCAGAAATTAGAAATCTAATCATATTCAGAATATTACCTTGAGAACATCATTACATGTATTTATGAATACAAAGAATTATCTAAATATTAAAAAAAGTATTGGTCAATCTAATATTTTATAATTATCTTTTATGAATATAAACCATTTTAGTAAATTTGCGTTCCGTAGGTCATGATTTTAATGGAAATTAGGTAAGCATACGAATGAATTGAAACAGTAGTCTTTATCATGTCATTAATTGGTAGAAGGTAAATAATTCCTGTTAACTGTAATTCTTATTGTAAGGAAAGTTTTATTCTAACGTAAATTAAATAAACATCTAAGAATTATTCATTACTCATCATTTCAATGAAAGTAAGTATTGTCAGAACTTGACTTACTCGCTCTGACCATATTATGGATACCATAAATATCTTTGGTACATGTAACCTAAAACAGTGGATCGTTTTCAATATAGTCTATTCATATGGATCCAAACTTAATCGCCTGTGTTTAGTTTCGATCCTGGTACGATTGATTCCCATGGTTGACAATTTCACACTATTAAAGATATTTTATTAGTTGTTAAACTTCTCTTATATTCTCTTCGTTGCCCCCAACTACCAAGGGTGAGGAGAATCCTCCCTCTCGAAATGCTCTCGTGTGTAGAGCCACCATCAGAGATGTCTTAACTACCTTCTCGTAGTGTTGCTATGATGTCTGGTACTATGTCAACCCACATAGGTTATTCTAGTCTCTGGACAAACCAGTCTATTCATTCTTCTTAAGCCACATTTTTACCCTGTCACTTATTTGCTTAATAATTGTTTTTATATGACCGTGTGTGCGTGTATTGCTTACCCCATTCATCACACGTCTGTAACTTTTGTCTGAATATGAATATCGATTAACGTTTGATTAAATGGAGTTGGCTCATATGACTTCTCCGATCCGCTCCACCTCGTTACCTTGCTTGTCTGTCCAGATCCACGATCGATCGAATCCTTATTAACAGTCGGTTATGTACTGTTAGATTTGAAAGTTCCACCAAAGTGCGAAGAAATCGGTATGAGAGACGATGTATTTTCGTCATCCCTACGCTCAGACAGATTGCAGCCCGGATGTGATCACTGCTTAGTTTTACAACCACTTAAATGTTCTTCTACAGAAAATGCGTCCGAAAAATATTGCAGTGCTAACCAGAGACTTGAATGTTCAGGTCAGTTGTCTAGGTACAAAAGAGAGTCTTTAAGGTGGTCGATGGGAACTTGCTGGTCTCAGGTCAGAAAACGGTGACCACAAACGAAGACTGTAAGGTGATGAAGTTGTGGAAAGCTTGCGTAAAGACCGAAGAGCCTGATGGTCGGAGCGCACTAACGAGTTAGAAACAGCAACTATCACCGAATACTGCCCGTAGCTCTTCCAACTCATCCGAGTCACTAGCAGCAAGACGCTTGATGTAAGTGAAGCTGATGGGATGCCAATCAACAACATTTACCGACGTCTTAGACGATAGGCAGAATTCTTCGAGGAACAGTCCAACTGGCCTGCTGTCTCGGCGACATCGATCAGACTTTTCTGCCTTCCATTGCCAATGACGACTGATTCACCTGACAACGCGGGAGTTTGCAAGAAACTCCGACTCCTGAAGTACCACAAATCACTAGGCTCAGCCGACTTGTCTCCAGTCCTTTTTAAAGATGGTGGTGACTTTCTGGTTATGGAACTAACTGAGATATTTACAAAAGTCTGGCAATTGGAGTGTCTAACGTCGTGGGATGAGTTGACAGTTATCCATATCTTTAAAGACAGTTTATGTCGTTTCTAAGACAACTATCAAGAGATAAGTCTGCTTCTGATTGAGTGCAAATTATTGGCTTCTATCTTCGTAGATTGTTCAAAATCCAAGAACGATTGATTCGTGAGGAGCGGGTCGGGTTTCATTCTGACCGAGGATGTATCGATCATATCTTCCACCTCCGCCAAATGTTAGAACACCGACATAATTATTACAGGCAAACAATCGTAGTGCTTCCTGACATCAGAACTGCCTTCGATTCGTTGGACAGGACTGTTCTCTGGGATTGTCTATTGAAGAAAGGTGTGCATGAGAAATTTATTAACATCTAAGCCCTATATACACCGACCTCTTTCCATTGTGGCATGAATCTCCCGCCTGGAGAAAGACTTCTCGACCTTGTGTATGGGGAGGGTATTGTCTCACTGTGCGATGATACTCAAGTCATGCAATCCACACTTAGTCAGTTGGCAATTAGTGTCTGTATGGTATGTGTTTTTCCCCTTCGAAATGCAAAATACTTTTGCATGACTGCGATCTTACATTCACTCTGCAAAATGTTCGCTTGGTTACTTTGTGGTTAGTAAGCGTCCGTCGAATTCTGCTTTCAGTTTGTAAGTAACTCAGTTATCTTCTGTAGATTTGTATTTAATGTCACCAAAAACTAAGACGATATATTTTAATATTAACATATTAATTAACAAACTAGTTTAACTCAGTAAATGTAATAAATATGATCTTATTTATTAAACTTTTCCAAGTAAACACCATGTTCTATAAACAGGGAATAAAGAATCAAACTTTTAAACAGTACTTAAAAACTCATTTACAACCAACTATGTGTGCATTCAAATATACATTCTCGGTACTCAAATGATCATTTTTCTGCCTCTTTATCTAGTAGTATCCCTTAATTCTGAGAGGTCATGCCTTTCTCAAGTAGGTCTGAAAACTCAAGAGTAGACTGGTCCATTAAAATAATTAACTTAGTCACATTTTTGATATTATTTTGGAGATCCCAAGCAACACAATTGTGTTGCGAAGAAAGGGGAAATAAAGGCGAAGAAAGGGGAAATAAAGCGGACGAAAGCGTAAATAAAGGGGAGATGTCGCTTTTTCGCCTTTACGTCGTGTATTTGGGGGAAATTTGTCGACAATTCTACGTAACGTACAGTGTTTGAATGGACCGCATCCAGAACTGAAGTTTTCATAAACTTCGACAAATTAAGGCACCGCTTAATAAAAAAACAAAAGTATCGTCATAAAAACAATGTACAAAATACGGAACCAGGCATTCGGTTGATACGCATATAGAGTGA